TATGACCCTCTTCCTGTATGGATCTTACATCACCATAACCCCTTGACCTTTGCTCTTGTCCTCACCGGTCAGTCAACCAGCTGCCTTTGACACGTGGAGGAGAAAGGGGGCAGAGCTTTGGTCTGAGCTATCAAACACACTCTCAAACTGGAGGAGGCAATTTTGTGAGTCACAATCGAAGGGAAGGGTGCTTGAGGATTATAAAGGATCTGAGCATGACATACTAAACAGTCATTCACAGCCGGTTCTGTTTTCACTGTAATGACTGGATCAAGCAGTAGGAGCCTGATGACTGAGCAGAATCATCTAAATAAGACAAGTGTTGCTTAGCAAGTATTAAGAAAGCTAAATGACTGCTCCTGTGCCATGTTTCAACAGGCCCAAATGTTGCTATAGATCTGCTGATACCTTAACTGTCTCAAGTCCACAATGATTTTCAAAGACAGACAACCCCCCAAAAGTGGCTAAATAACATCTAGAGTATGCAGCACAGGTTCACATTACTGCTTATCTGCTGTATCTCTACTCATTATAATCTCTAAGCCCCCTGACTTTAGGCCTAAACCTCAACTCGTTTTAAGACCAAACCCCTCTCTTAGTCACGCAAGCAGTGTGACTCAAGGGATGGCAACGCTGATAGGTTAGTTACTTTGGTCCAGACTGAAATATGTAACTATAGACCTCAGTAAGAAAATCTTCAAAATTTGTATCTGTCCAACACTTTGGTTTATGAGCAACCAGGTGTAAAACTAAAGACATTAGCCTCAGCTATCTGCCTATTTTGTTTTTAAGAATAATTGGCAACTGTGTATACTAATCCAGGAGTGAAGTGAAAGTGATTAACATTATAGGCCTATCTATCTATCTATCTATCTATCTATCTATCTATCTATCTATCTATCTATCTATCTATCTATCTATCTATCTATCTATCTATTGCTCGTAAAACTGCATTCAGACCAACATTAGCCTTGAATGAAGAAAATGCAGCCCCCTCATTAAATCAGATGACTGTGAATGCAGTTGGGATGCTAACATAAGGGACACAGTCAGGAAAAATGCAGCGTTGTCTGCCCAAAATTTGAAAATGAGTCAACTTTTGCCGGAACACAATGTAACATGGGGCCATGTTAATATGAGCAAGCATTCCTGGTACATTGCTTTGCAACATGAACACAGTATGTCGACTGTTTACCTCACAATCGTAGTCAAAAATATAAAATCTATGATAACTTTCCAGAGCATTGACATCTTTCCTCATATTATAAACTGTTTTGGCATTGATACTATTAGCTTGTAAACTCAGATGACTTTAACTGGATTTCATGTCAGTGCAGAAATTTGAGCAGCCAGTGGTGCATGGCTGCTAGTAACCTCCCCCACTTGTTTGAAAAGTAAAATAAGCAGTGTGAAGAAAGGTCTTGTTTGCAATGTCTGATAAATGGGAATATAATGATTTTAGTCACTGGTTCTCCGATTTTGGATGTCTCTCTGATGCCTTTTTCAGGAAAGATCCAGCAGCTTGGCTTATTTTATGATAAAACAAACTAAAAATAGAGAGCAAGAGGAGCATTTGTTAATGTGAGACCAGCCAAGTGTCACAGCCCACACCATTTCATAAAACGAGACTTGAAGGACTGCTGATTTTATGGTAGGATCTTCCAGCTAAACGCTGACTAATCCTAAGCCTGTGTACAGCTCAAGCTTTGTTCCTCATCACAGATCTTGGTTTGAACCGGTCTGCACTGGAATCGAGTTGACTGCCACTCCCTGCACTGTAATCACTAATCTAGTGCTTCTCCATTTCGCTTTCTTCTTTGTCTTTCTTTATTCAACCCCCACTGACTGCATTTATAAGAACAGGACTAATGTTTAACCTTCAGAGGAGCAGTCCAGATCTTGCTTTGGCTGCCCAAACATGGAGAAACCATGCTGAATCGTTTCCCTTTGTTCAGGCAAAGGGGTGACGTAGGTCCTTTTGTTGCCATGTGGTCTCATATTCTGTTATTAATATGCATGTTTCTCAAGGAAAGAGCATAAGGAAGAATTCTTATTATTCTCTTTTATCTGCGCCTTAAGCACCCTTCTTTATAGCTCCTCTCACATTTTCTAGATATAAAAATAACCCAACAAAGGGACATGTATATATAAAGATAATCATTTATACATTTATACAAAAAGATCTGTTTTTACTCATATGTTTTCATAGTTTTCAATCATGCATACGTTCTTTAAACACTAATGTTATGTCTTACACACCCTTTCTTATATTTACATTTATGTAATTTTGTTGTACCCTGCCCCCACTCCACACACACACACACACACACACACACACACACACCTCCACCCTGTATCTTCCTCTCTTCCTCTCTCTGCGGTTACTGTCCTCCAGGCTCGAGGGCTGTCTGCCACAGTGTCTGTTGACATCAAAGCATTCACCGTTCCTAAGGCTGATGAAAGGCAGGAAGAGGGTGGGAGAGGACAGGCCCGGGTCCAACGCTGCACAACGCTGCCAACACAGCAAAGAAGGCCAAGACAATTGCCTTGAATATTTTGCTTTTTTCCCCTTAACAATTGAATTGCCCTGAAAGGGAAAAGGGGGCCAATAAAAAAAGCTGCCTGGTGTGAGATACACGAGCCAAACAAAAGGGACAACTGTGAGATAAAAGAGCAAAAATAGACTGTGTGATTAACAAACTGTGATAAAGATGTGATAACCTCTAATGAAGATTAAATAAAAGAAAAAAACAGAAAGTGTTATTCAAAGTTCTCAGACATAATACCTCTAATGGAATAGTTCAACTTATGGAAAATATGCTTATTCGCTTTCTTGCAGAGACTTTGGTGAAAAGATTGATACCACTCTCATGTCTGTGAGCTAAACATTAAGTTAGCAGCCAGCTAGCTTAGCTTAGCACAAAGACTGGAAACCGGGAAACAGCTGGCCTAGCTCTGTCCAACAGTAACAAAAACCCCCTACCAGCTCCTCTAAAGCTCACTTATTAACACTTATTAACAGCTTTCCACCTTGGTTTTAGCCATGAAAATTAAAACAGCAAGTTTTGCTTTGATTGTGCTCTTGTGCCTGTCGGCTGTTGGTGCTGAGCAGTGGTGGGATTTTACAGCTTTTTCTATGGAAAACAGCGGCCTATTGCAGGTGAAAATGATGCTATGAGAGCAGCGAGAGTGAAGGAAACAGTAAAGTTGCAGGCAGACAGGTAAACAATGAGCTGAAACTCGTTAAAAAGCGCCAAAAAGCTGGAGGGAGCTGTAGATTGAGGTGATAATTCTCTGTAGGTTCATCACTGCGAGACATCTTAAACATTATCATTTGATACATTGTTGCATAAAAATAGCAATTACAGCTGTTTTAAAGTATGTTAATTGCCCAATAAATCCCTGTCAGTAACACATTTTATGAGTGTATTTTCACTCAGCATTATACAATCCTTAATTTGTTATTAACAGCCTGGCTTTAAATTGATCTCCATTTATAGCTTATTCTGTTAACTTGATTTTTCTATACTTTTTCCCTTTTTCTACTTGTAATACATTTTATTCATTCTGTACAGAAAAGCCCTTTTTACCTCATCTTCAGAATTTGGATTAACAGTTTAGAGATTAAAAATAGATGTGAGCGTGAGCATCTGTGGCATATAGTAATTAGTTTCTAGCTTCAGCACACACACCCTCCTTTTACCAGTTGCATGTGATTATTCACCTGAGAGTTCCGCACCTAGGGTGACTGATACTTGAGCTTCCCATATCTCTCAGCACATACGAGGAGCGCCTACGGTTAGATGTCGTCATGCACAACAACCCAGGGAACTGGTTTTAGCCGGTAGAGGAACTATCGCAGCAAGCAGATTAGCAGGCATCCACTCAAGTCATCTGTGTGTCTGCAGCTAAACCTACACCCAGCCACTGATGAAACGCTGTGAAATACACCAGAAGGGTTTTTAAATGGGGTGTAAATATAATAGATGGTTACAGAGATGGAGGGGTCCCTTATGCTTTTGGTGAGTGTGAAGAATCAGAGGGTGAGCCTCCACTCCTCCAAACCCTGTAATGCTACTTAGACAGGCTCTTATCTAGAGAGCAGGGATGATCAAATAGACTCCAGCACAAACACGCTGCGCAGAGAAAGCCGTCAACCTGCCCCCACCCTCCCCGCCCAAACTGAGCCAAACTGGTTCACGCTGGTCTGGTGAGGCATACTGCGTTGTGAGGGGAAACCCAATGAAGGTTTACCACATCCTCTCATGAGTAACACTATATTCCCTTCAAATGCCCTCTGCTGCGTCAGAATGGAGAACAATACAGTGCTCACCATGTGCCTGTTTTCTTAATAAACGTAAACCATATTAATCCTAGATTACATGACTCAACACTCCGCACATGAACTGTCGGATTTATATGCCCAATGTCAGGATGTCAAGACTAATAACACATTGCTTTCCCGTTTCTATGGTGATCTGGACTGTTTAACCTGAGGAGTTTCCCTGTTTATGACCAACACAGAGGTCACAGCTGTTGGACAGCAAATGGCTAAGAAGTGTTTTGTGTTAAACTGCTAAAGAAAAGAAATCATGTTGACCAGTGATGTAATATTTGATCCATCCTTGTCATTATTGGAGAAAACAAGTCCAATGCCTATTTTGTGACAGAATTAAGATAATTTAACTTTTATACGCTCACACTGCTGTCCTTAAAATGCCGGAAGATGGGCTTCTTTTTGTTATTTTTTGTAGTGCATCCTCATGGTTTGATTCCTCACTAATCCTCGACTGATAAAGGGTTGCTCAGTGTTTTTCACTGCCCCATGTTATTACACCATAATAGAATCAGAATTAAGCCTCAGCTAACATAAATTAATCTGCCATAAGGATATTAACCTCATATGACCTGATGTGGTGACCAACAATGGCATTAATGCTACACAAATTTACATCAATAATGAATTTGTAAATGATGTGTGCAATAAGGACAAACAATGGTTCAACTTTTGTATACAATGTAATAATTTATTAAAAATGACAAACAAAGGAACATATCATAAATGCAAATCACTGTGCTATAATATTTTGTGACAATAACACATTAGTGGCCACTAATTCATATAACAAAGTGAAGCTGAGAAACAAGGCATATGTTCAGGACAGGCATTCAGGCAGGTTCTTCGGCACTGTAAAAGTCTCATATTGAAGCTGCGCACCACCATCAACACAGTGATGTGCACTTTTACAGATGCTGCTTCACAGTCAGGCATCCACAGGAATGCATTCATGAATTCAAGTCTCAGGGAAGATGTTTTTGCCCTTCATATTCCCAGACAGTTGATCCTGCTCCATCCGCTCAGGGCAGGACTCTCCGCTGCCGCCTCCGTCCGTGAGGCGACAGCCGCGGCATGCTGCCCTCCAGGCGGCCCGGCGGGACATTCTCCTCCGCACCTGACGCTCCTCTCCGGGAGACAGGCGAGCCGCACAGGTCAGCGGCGGTAACCCAGTCGTACTGGGAGTGTTTTCACATTCGGCTCACACAGGAGCCGATAGAGTGACACAGGTGCCAGTCAAAGGCAGGTGAAACACAGTCAACGTATTTTGAGCAGCTGCCGGAGCATGCCCGCGATCTGGAGGAACTTGTCCTTCTTTCGCTGCTTCAGAGCCATCAGGGCCCGGGCCGTCTCCTCCGGGTCCTGGGTGTAGGAGAAGATGCTCCTCACCCTCTCCTCCGCTTTCATGTCGCCCGTTTTCTGGAAGAGCCTCATCAGCGAGTCCTGGTTGACGTTCTCGAAGATGTTGGCCACGGCCTTCTTGCGGTGCGCCGTGTCAAACTTGTTGCCGTGGACCGTGGGGCTAACCCGGCGGGACTCGGAGGACACGTAGGTCGACATCTTGTCTCTTTGTGTCTCTGGATGTCTGGTGTTTCTCTGCTCCAACAATGGCCCTCCAACTCGCTGAGGATGAGTTGTTAGGTGCGCACTGTTTCGGGGGAGCGAGTCTTGGCTTGAACGGCTGAGCGAGTGAGCGGAGGACAACAGGCGAGGAGAGGCTTTATAGAGAGGCTGCTGGGGGGGAGGCTGCTGCGGGGGGGAGGCTGCTCTCCCCGCGGTGACATCAGCAGTCAGACGGAGGCGCCGCCTCTCCCGGAGCTCAGCACACTGACAGTCCGCTGCAGCTCTCCCGCTGATGGAAGCTCTTCATCTGTCTGATGGTTGTCTGAAGCAAACAAATGGCCCTCTGAGATTTTAGAGCTGTTATATGTATGTAATTCAGGCACCTTTAAGATAAAAAGCCAACTGCCAACGGTCTGCCTAATAAATTAGGCATGATTTTATCTCACTGTTGGATTTACTGGAAATACAGTGACTAGTTTCACCCTATATTATCCAGCTAGTACAAACAGAAAAAGCGTCCACAAACAATCTCTATCTCTGTGGTGGTCTTTGATATGATCCTTAGACCATAATAATAATAATAACAATTATACAACTGATTTATAGAGCGCTTTTCATAATACTCAAAGACACTAATAATATTATATATAATGATATATATATGATAAGATGAAGTACATACATAAACAACACAGAAAAATCCCCCTATCCTTTTGAAGAAGTACAGATCTTCTACTGATTCACTCATCATGATTTCTGTATGTAAAGTATTTATCTACAAAGTAACAAGGAACTATAGCTGAATAAGTTATGTGCACCTGGAATATAGTGGAGTAGAAGGAAAACTACTCCAGTGCGAGTACCTCAAACATGCTCTTACACACAGGTAAATGTCCTTAGGTACGTTCCACCACTGGTCTATTTAGAGAAAGTAGAAAATATGCAACATTAATATACAGTGTTGTGTGTGGTATTTCTGTATAATCTCGGAGCCCATCGACTGTGCTCTGACTGACGATTTAACATTCAGATGTGTGTTTATAGAGATTAGTGGTGTGACACATGTAGTACGCAGATGTGATGTCTCGGCTCATCTGAGTCATTTGTGTCTTTTGATTTGTTATTCTATCTAGTGGGTTAACAGCGCACGGGAACAGTTTATAAACCAAGAATGAACTAAATAAAACTGTTAGTCTGATCTCTAAAGAAGAGGTGTGTTTACTGAATGACTGGTGTTTTCCTGTTGGGACATTTACACTGACTGCAGCTCTGATGTAAATATAGTCTTTACTCTAACTTTTTATAGGGTTACATGTCACCTAGAGTACTGTGTTAAGACTACAAACAAACAGTAAAACACATTTTATTATTGGAGGTCAAATTGACTCTATAATTAACTTCTTGTAGGTTACTAAAAGTGTGCTTTCAATCATTCCCAAAATTGCTGCAGAAGATTATATCTGCTACTTCCAGTTAGCTGTGCTAAAAATATTTGGCTTACATTTTAGCCTTCAGATGGGAGGGTTAGTGAGTGTTTACAACTTGAGTTGACCTGTGGCCCATGCAGTCTGGCTGATCCGTGTTGATAAGGCTGCAAGGCGTTCCCCCACAGTGCACAGTGTACAGTGTACAGTGCAGCTCTCCTCATAAACAACTGAGGTGTCAATCTCATGCTGCTGTAACTCTCATGCTGTCCCCCTGTACAAGTGTGACCACGGGCTAGTTCCTTATATGGAAAAAAAGCCAGCAGCAATTGCCATAAGCAGCTCAGGAAGTGTATTCTTTCCTCCTGAGGTCTGCAGAATAAAGTTCATGGACGGTATGCCCGGCATGTGTGGCACTGACTTTCTATGCTGAATCGAACAATGAACCAAAGATCCTTACTGAGTCTGTAGTGAGACAATACCCAGATCCTCGCTGACAGCTTTGTTTTCCAGGTCTGTGTGAACAATGTGTCGCCACAGGATACCTGTCTGTCTGGAGCTGGCATGGCAGTTATGACTAGAGACAGAAAATGTCACTGCACTTCCGCAAAAAAAAAAAAGTGTCTGCTGGTGGAAATGGCATATTTATGACCCCAAAGTTGAACCAGAGGCACGAGAGGCAAGGAATGCACAATGAGATTTCAGCGGGTAGACGGAAACTGGAGCCTTGAGCTGCTGACCCTGTTCTCCTGTCCACACCAAGCATTCATGTTTTATCATAACAAAAGGGACACTAAATTTAACCAGGGGTCAAAGTTCTGTCATCTTCTGCCCCATGGGGGAGGGATTCCCAGGAGACAGCATGTTTACTCCCTCATGTATCCCTTACAGATAAGATGTTTAACTTTTGCCTCAACTGACATAACGACACTCCCGAACGTCCCGAAAATAGAGTCCAGTCCACAGATAAGGGTGCTCATGGAAAAGGAGGCAGCATGCTGAGACTTGTTTGAGGAGTCCTCTTTATTAGGTAAAACGGTCAATGTTCAGCGTTATCTATCTAGAGCAATTCTGCTGTGTTTCCCTGCTCCTCGTCTTTGTTTATAGGTGTGCTGCACTCAGCGATAAAATGTGATAGTGCCTCTCTCTGAAACCACGTCCAGAGTGACTTATCAATCCAAGCCTGGCATTAGATGTCTGAGCTACAAGAAGGCGTTAGTCATCCTCAGTTACAAAATCTTTCAGCGTCAAATCCAGAATGGATTTTGATACGTACAAACGTATTTCATGCGTCATGACCGAACCATTTGGGAGGTTACATAATGCACCAGGTAGGCAGACATACAGCAAATAGCCTGCGCCGTTTGATATGGAGCCCAACATTGATTATTGAGCCAATAAAATGGAAGTCCTGTAAGACAGTTTGATAACTAGGCGGGTTAATGCACTGCAGTTCTCTGAACAGTGTGACATACAAGGCTGGCATAAGTACTGATTGTTTCCTTTATTCCTTATCCAACTTGCACCCTGCACATTTTTAATATTGGGTTTAAACAAGACAGGCAAGAGCCCTGAGTGCTACTCTGTGCTTAAAGGAATAGCTCAACATGGGAAGTTACAGCTTCATTTGTGTTGGCAGTGCAGTGGAAGTGGGAGCTTTCATACATTGTATATGAGAATGTATGCATCCCTTTGACTTCTGTTTCATGTTTTTATTTATTTATAAACAGACAGTATCACCACCTCTAGTTACAAGCCATCCAAAGGCCCTTCATAAATGCATATACATGGAACAATAAACATCCAACAACCATATCAAAGCAACCATATTATCATAGTGTTCCAGCAACATTATGAGCCAAAAAGTGGTCTCATGACCTCTTAAAGTTCTCATTTTCATCACTGACTCTCACTTACATGTTGATATACCCTTTCAACAAAGATTCCATCCATTTATTTCACACATAGAGAGGATGTACTTTTCCATAATCTGAGGATCGTTGGGGCAGCCTACCTTTATCAAGGCAAAGTCATATTTTGATATATTGGGCATTTCTGTTTTCCCCATTAACCATTATCATGGTAATACAGGTACCCTATGTGTTCTACTCTTTCCCAACAAGGAGTAGTTAAGTTTACACTTCCAGATTGCATGCAGAAATGTTCCTGTTTCTGTCTGACATTTACAACATAAATTATCCTGGGACGTTTTTCAGACCCCTAAGTTTAGTCAACAATCTCCTGTGACTATAAAAGGTTTCCTTTTCATTTAATTTTACACTGTTAAATCTAACAGCATATCTTAATAAAATAATTAAATTTACATAACTTAGTCCTCCAAAATTAGTCACATAAAAAACAAGTAGGCTATTGTTAACCTAATTAAAACAGTAACAATTCAATTTGTTCATGCTCAAATTGTTGCTCTCCATGCTGTATGAACTGAAATAGTTTAAGACAATCGGTTTCCTCAGCCAGTTTGAGTTGAACTAACTCATCTGGTTTTATGGCATAGACTGAATCTCTCACTTCTATATGTGCATATATGTGCTTTTCTTACACCATGTCTTCTCATGTCACTCTGAAATGACATGAAGGTATCCTTGCTACCATGCATGTGCCAACTCTCTCTTAAAAAATCAATAAAAACTTAAATGTGCAAAAAGAAATATAATCATTAAGCAGTCTTTGTTCTTTCACATAAGTTAAAGTCCTAACAAGATATTAGCGTTACAACATGTGTTCAGTACAGTAGCACCAAATCATGCGTGTCACAAAAATGACCCGACAGTAAGCCTTTGAGCAAACAGTGTTGCTTGTTGAAACAGTGGCTGAGGTACGAGGACAGAATGACAGCGTTTAAATCCCCTGCGATTCAGAGACACTGAGGGACAGAGCTCAGGTTATAGTGCGTGTTTGCGTTTCTCTAAAATAGACTGTTTCAGAAAAGGCCTCCAATGCTGTTTGCTGTTCTTCTTGTGTAATCTGCATATGTCCCAGATGTCTGTGACCATTTCAATGTTCAACACATGAGGTAAGCAGAGACAGCTTTATCAGAAGATGGTTTACAGTTTTGGTGAGACTTTGACCTTTGAGTTCACAGTCATCTGTGTTTAAAACCCACCAGATAATAAGATATATTGATTTTCCTTTATTAGGAATACAGAAGGAGGGAGATATAAATAGTGATTAATTTCATGAGAAGGAAATCTACTTCTCCAAGAAAAGCGCTGGTCATTTTACACGGAAACAAACTGCAATCATACCATGGAATCTTATTAGACGTAGCACGATAACAGGCTCTGGGAATAATGATGAAAAGGCTTTGTGGTTACAAGAGAATTCATTAAGGCCTGTGTTTATATCTGGACCTTACTGGAATCTGTCGCAGGCTGCATGTCTGTTTGGCAAGTTGCTGCTTATGTAACATTAGCACAGGAAAAGAAGGATATTTAGGGAGAGCGGGTCTCTAGGGGACTAGTGTTTGTGAGTGAAAACAACTCCTGGTGTGTCTCCAAAGGGAAAATGCTGGTTCCGAAAAATTTCAGAATGGTGGCGGGGGTACATTAAAATAACTCTAATTAACCGGCACTGTGGGTGTCATGTCTGATTGCCTGAAGATAACAGAGGTAAACTTTGACTCACTAAAAAACAGCAATATTTTTAGAGAATCTGTGGTAGTTGCAAGGGCGTAGTGCAAGCAGGGGGTCCAGCTGAGGCAATAAA